CGCGAGTTTAACGTAGCTTCAATGCGACTCAGCAATGTGGTCAATTCTTCGTATGTCAATCGTTGCAACCCAAGGGTTCGGTATAATAGTGTTTTGGTGGATTTGACCCCAGCCTCCCATAATCCTCCAAAATGTGGAGCGGAAGGGGGGTTAAAATGCCAACTGATATTACGAGCCGTAAGGTATGCCTGACACTGATTTTGGTACTCCGTAGAATGGATGAGTTGATCGACAGGCTGTAATAGGTTAGCCGCACCTTTGAAATTTGTCCCGCAGTCACTGTGTATTTGTTCAACCGGTCCGCGTCTGGAAATGAAACGACAAAGGGCCATAAGAAAGGTTTCGGATGACAAATCTGAGGCCACCTCCAAATGTAATGCCTTGGTTGTCATACACACAAATAAGCAGATGTATGCTTGACCGGGCACCGTTCGCCGTGTTTTAGAGGATTTCAAACTAATTGGACCGGTGTAATCTACGCCTGTTGTCATGAACGGTTTTATCTGTTGCAGACGACATTTGGGAATGTCACCCATGAAGGGCTGTGGATTGCGTGGGCGTGTCTTGTAGCAAGCAATGCAGAGCCTTAATCGGGATCTAATGACTTGGCGACCTGATATTATCCAATACTGTTGTGAAATTATTGTTTGCAATGTAGTGGCACCGGGATGTTTGTGTTGTTTATGAAAATCATCAATGAGTAGGTTTGTTAGTCGGTGGGAACGTGGCAGAAGTATTGGATGCTTCTGTGCATATGGAATCGTTGCATGCCTTAGACGACCACCAACACGTATTATTCCGTTATCATCTTGGAACGGACTGAGCCTTCGTAATTTGCTGTCGCTTGCACAGGAGTAATTACCTGTTTTGTCAAACTCATCCGAAAATGATTGCCTTTGTATTGTTAGTAGGATCCGGTGCAAGGCATCTACCTGTTCACGAGGAGACAATTGTATGGTGCATGGTTTAGATTTTGTAAAGATTCTTAAACAGTACGCTACAACATGGATGATTGTAGCGAGTGATGAAAATTTGTTTAGTAGATCTTCGATGATAGTCTGGTTTAACGTGACTACTAGAATAGCTTTACGTTCTTCCGAATTTGTTGTATCACAATCGTTGTTGATAACTGTTGGTGGCCATTTATTATGGTCTCGATAGAGAAATTTTGGACCAGACCACCAGAGTGGGTGATGAAGAACCTCAGATGGATAGAGCCCCCTTGAGGCTTAGTCAGCAGGGTTGTCATTCGTGGGAACATAATGCCATATAGACGGTGGTGTCAGTTCCTGTAATTGACTTGTACGGTTGGCGACGAACGTTGTCCAACGGTGAGGCGATGATTTAATCCAAGCCAGAGCGGTGG